TCGTCTCCACGAGACTCAGTCCTGTGAGGGAGACACGGGGACAGGGTCCCGCCCAGCAATGACTGGCCACAGGCCCTCGGGAGGTGATCACATGGGAAACCCCAGAACGTTCTGGGGGACAGAGCAGCCTCTGCAGACCCCGGGCATCGCCCCCACTGTGACCCCAGGAGGAGGCCTGGAGGGGGAGCGACTGGTCTTGTCCCCCCAGAGGCCCTGGTCGCCCCCACAGCCCCGTGGCCTCTCCGCGTTCACAGCTGTAACGCCGCCTCCTGGGACGGTGCCCGAGAGGGTTCTCTCCTGTTTCTTGTCTTTTTAAAAAAATATATTTTTAATGATTTCAGACCCTGGTCACCCCCACAGCCCCGTGGCCTCTCCGTGATCACAGCTGTGACGCCGCCTCCTGGGACGGTGCCCGAGAGGATTCTCTCCTGTTTCTTTTCTTTTTAAAAAACATATTTTTAATGATTTCAGAGAGGAAGGGAGAGGGAGAGAGAGAGAAACGTCAATGATGAGAGGGAATCATGGATCGCCGGCCACGTGCACGCCCCCCACTGGGGATCCAGCCTGCAACCCAGACATGTGCCCTGACCAGGAATGGAACCGTGACCTCCTGGTTCATAGGTCGACGCTCAACCACTGAGCACACCAGCTGGGCTCTCTCCTCTTTCAATAGAAAGTGACAGATACACCAAAGGTGGAGAGCAGTGTGGACGTGCACGCCCCCCACTGGGGATTCAACCTGCAACCCAGACATGTGCCCTGACCGGGAATGTAACCGTGACCTCCGGGTTCATAGGTCGACGCTCAACCACTGAGCCACACCACCCGGGCTCTCCTTTTTCAAAAGAAGGTGACAGATACACCAAAGGTGGAGAGCAGTGTGGTCCAATGGATATAACACTTTAAACCAATATGTCATTCAACAACTTCCGGCGTCCTGATTAATGAGAAGTCACAAGTGCTATCCGTTTTCATACCAGATTTTGTTAAAATGACTTTCTTGAAATTATTATCACTTCAATGTGAATTAAATAAAAAATATTGATACTTTTACCTGATTCTTGTACTGAGTTTTTAAAAACTGGAAAATATTTTGGAGGCCCCACCTCTCTGCACAGACGGGTCCAAATTTCAAGAGAAATGCAGGTTCCACCGCGGTGCAGATGTGAGCCTTCCTCAGTCCCCACTCAAGGAGGACGGACCCCTGAATAGAGAACAGAGGGGGGCAGGAGGGCTCAGGAGGCCTGGAGGCTTTGGGGGGAGTGAGGAGGTGGTATGGGGCCTGGTGGGAGCAGGGCAGGGAGGGGGCTGAAGGTCAAGCTCTGAGGTCAGTCTCCTGCATTGGAGTCTTGACCCATCATCTCCGTCTGGGGGATTCTGGGAAAATCGTTCGCCTCCGAGGATGCTCCCTCCTCTTGGCTGGAGGAGAGGCTGGACCCCAGCAGAGGACGGTGTGGGCTCCTGTGACGCTGAGTGAGGGGCCCAGGGACACCCCCCCACCTGTCAGCCTCCAGGAAGCTCTCAGAAGCAGTCATGGTGATGCACCAGCTGCACAGGGAGGTGACATGCACCCTGGGGACACCAGGGGGCGCTGTGGGTCCGGGTTGGGGCCTTTAGAGGTCAGAGTCCCCTGGGCTGTGTCAAGTGCAAAGAGCAGGACTGAGCTCCTGTGAAGACCCTTCTGTTGGGCCAACCAGCTCTTAGCAATGAAACCCACAGCTGCCCTCTGCCCCCGGGGAGTCCCCGCAGGAGGCCCGGGGCTCAGGGCTGGGCCAGCAGCTGAGACAGACCCTGGCTGGGCCCAGACAACAGATTTGCATCCCTGCTCCTCCCTCCTGAGCTGCGGGCAGAGAAGATAAGACAGCAGCTGGCAGGGCCAGTGCCAGCTGGGCAGCCGCAGGCAGCGCTCAGGACCCTCCCACCATGGCCTGGCTTCCCCTCTACCTCCTGCCCCTCATCGTCTCCACAGGTCAGAGCGGCCACAGCACCTGGGGTCCTGCCCCCGATTCTCCCTCCCAGCTCAGTCCCAGGGGCGCCTGCTCATCGGGGCGCAGTGGGCATCGCTCTTGTGTTTTCTGTCTGCAGGTCTCTGTGCTGATCCTGTGCTCACGCAGCCCCCGTCTGCCTCTGCCGCCCCGGGGGCCTCGGCCAAGCTCACCTGCACCCTGAGCGCTGAGCACAGCAGCTACACTATTGATTGGTATCAGCAGAGACCAGGACAGGCCCCTCGATTCATCATGCGACTAACAAGCTCTGGAAGCCACACCAAGGGAGACGGGATCCCCGATCGCTTCTCCGGTTCCAGCTCCGGGGCC